TACAATTCTCCTTTGAGTTACATTCTAACTTGTGCACACGGCAGAAAGGGAGAGGAAATAGTCACCTCAGATGAGCTATTTGGCAGGTATTACATTTCATTTTATTTGAGCTTGCTGTATTCTGTGCAGATTTGAATGGTTTTACAGTCAGAGCCCAATATAAGCAATATACGAGGCAAATACAAAGGAAAACCATTTATTTTCAGTTTAAATTGATGAGAAGTGTTATTTTTATGTTCATCATTACCATATAATTTGCTCACTGGGCCCAATGTGAAGTATGCTGCCTGATGTTTACGGTTGTAGTATATATGCCAGAGGATGTGGGGAAGACCAGGACTTTAAGGCTACATCTACGCTGCAACACTATTTCGCGATACCCAAGTATCCAGAAATAGCTATCCCGCATCTTCACAGCAAGCCTGGCATTTCAAAATATAACAGGCTCGCTATTCTGACATCCCTGTAAACCTCATTCCATGAGGAGTCAGGGACATTTTGGAATAACAGGTTATTTTGAAATTTGGTGCTGTATAGACAGTGCCAAATCACAAAATAAGCTATTTTGAAATAACATCGAAATAAGATACGCAATTTGCATAGCTCAAATTGCGTATTTTATTTTAAGCTATGGTGGAGTGTAGGTGCACCCTAATCGGGTTCAAAAAAGAGCTAGATACATTCATAGAGGTTAAGTCCATCAATGGCTGTTAGCCAGGATGGGTAGGGATGGTGTCCCTTGCCTCTGTTTGTCAGAAGCTTGGAATGGATGACAGGGGAGGGATCACTGGATGATTCCCTGTTCTGTTCCTTCCCCCTGGGGCACCTGGCATTGGTCACTGGTGAGAGAACACTGGGCTAGATGGACCTTTGGTCTGATCCGGTCTGATCATTCTAATGTTCTTATTTTATGTAGTATAGACTAGGGTTTAGTCCCAGAGTGAGAGTAATATGGTGAGGGAGATAATACCTTTTATTGGAGCAATTTCTGTATTAGCATCACACCTTCAAAAGATGAACCCGGGCACTTAAATTCATAACTCTGCTGGACACTAAAAACCATTGGATTTAATAGATAGTGTTTTTTATGGCCCATTATAACAACTTGTAACATACCGTGCTATTTTCTAACCCTCCAGTGCCCAGTTTCTGCAGAGGAGTTACTTGGCCACTGTATTTTAAGTGCTGCACAACACGTATGTGAAACCCTTATGTTCTACATTTTCTTTTTCCAGACCTAAAGAAGAACTCTATGAAACTCAAGAGCTTGTCCCTTCTGCCAGTAGAAATTGGTCCAGTAAAAGATATTACCTCATCCACCTTGATTCTTTCATAAATATATCGGATGTGATTCTTTTTGTGCTTTCTGGGTAAGTCTGTAAATACCACCTACAACAGCCCTTGTATGTTTATGGCACTAAATTTATAGCTTTGTTCATGTCACCCCACCTCCCAACATTCTCACTGAACCCTTGGTAATATGTTCTGTCATCTCAAGACCCGGGTTCTGACCTCAAAGTGGGACATGACCCTATTAAAATGGGGTGGCCAGAGCCAGCACTAGACTTGCTGGGACCCAAGGTGGGAGCCTGAGCTCCACCCCCAGAGCAGCTCAAGCTCCAGCATCCTTTCCCATGTCATAATTTTGTTGTCAGAAAAGGGTGATGCTGCAGTGATGTTTGAGAACAGCTCTACATTCCTCATAAAGATTCTTTCTTAGGTACACTTCTAAATTCCCTCATCAAGAGATCAGCCGTTTCTTTAATCTTAGACGTGTTAATAAGCAATCTTGGGGTCTGGACAATAAATATAAATTATTATTTAAACTGTATCAACTAGTTAACAGTCTAAATATGGGGCACTTGGTTGATCTTTCCATGACTGGAACCACGTACTATCCTGTTTTGTGGCACACTTTGTACAATCGTCTTAATCTTTTCTCCTTAGTCCACAATTCCTGCTAATGTTTTTAACTAAACTTTTAAATTCCTGCTTATTCAAAGGTACCTGTATATTAATTTCTCCATTTTTAAAGCTTTTATTGTTCCTTTATCTACCACTTCATTGTCATGTATCCCAGCGTATGCTGGAGTTCATGTTTGTACTATATTCATATCCTAATTCGCTAAGTCTTGTCAAAAACAATATTTCATAAATTAGATCACTTCTGCTTTCTAAAGTATCCCTTTTAATTGCCAGTATATCTGATTATGAATCTGAAAAGATAACAGTGAAGTAGACTGTATGTCCCTTATGTAGTTTAACACTAACACTTTCGCCACCAATTCATAATGTATGGCATGTCTACACTATGGCGAAGATCGACCCTCCGGAGGTCGATCTTCTAGCGTTCAATCTAGCAGGTCTAGTGTAGACTCCCAAACCGAACACTGAGGACAGACCCTCCACCCCCCAGCATCTGGTACTCCTCATTCTGCAAGGAGTAAGGGCAGCTGATGGGAGTGTGTGCTTCTGTTGGCTTCCCACAGTATAGACACCGTGAAGGCTTGGCTTAAGGTGAGCTGATTCCAGCAACGCATTTTGTGTAGCCAAATGGTGTACCTTAAGCCAACCTGCCTGATCTAGTGTGAACCAGGCCTTAGAGAGGTGCTAAGTAAATACAGAGTGGATACAAAACACTACCTAATCAGAATGGTAACAATTCATGCCACTTTACCCTGGTTATTGACTATGAATCATAGAATACTAGGACTGGAAGGGACCTCGAGAGGCCATCGAGTCCAGTCCCCTGCCCTCATGGAAGGACCAAATACTGTGCAAAGGGTCAGAAAGAGAACCAGGTCCATTCAATGATGTTCCCATTTTAACTGTATTTACTATTTAACTACTTAGTCAAGAAAACAAAATTAAAGCATAACTATCACTCCAGGCCCTAAACAATACATGGTATGAACTGAAACCAGGTTAATTTAACAGATTTAAGTCATAAACTACGATTGTAAAGCTAGTCGTAAAGCTGAACAAGAAGCTTTGTTAAATAAGCCATGCTTTATTAATGCTCAGTTACCTATGATTATGTTTAGGATTCATTAATAACACTACAATTTAAACGGATAATCTTACAAGCACGTACTTGTGCTACAATCAGTAGGAATACTCACATGTTTAAAGTTACGCATGTGTGTCAGTGCAGAGATGATCAGGGCCCTATTGCTCTGTGTTCTGAAAAACATTCTGTGTTGAGTAGATGGTCACATTCAAGGCATAGTCACAATTGAACTAAAGGAAGATAATTCTAAACAGAAATTAGCTGCTTATTTCTCAACAGGTAAAAACCGAAAAACATATTTTCTGATAAAAGGTCACTAATATTAAGTATTTTTGACCCTAGAAGCATTTCCCTCACTGCTCACTAACCCACAACAAATTTCAGCTAAAGACAACTTCATTGTAGCCATCCACACACGTGCTTCATACACTGTATTAGCATTGTGATTTAATTTGCATCCAGAGCTAGACTTTCCCAAAGGAAGATTTTATGAAAATGAGAAACCTTATTTGTATATGATATTTTAAGTCAACTTTGCTGCTTTGTTTTCCCTTTTCCTCTGGTTTTCTCTTTTTCTGTCTTTTTCCACTTTGCCCCCAAAAATATTTTTTTGTTGTTCAAATGGCAATGCTTCCAACAAATGTCAGTGCAAACAGCTACTGTACTCCGCTCCAAATGTGCATCCTACTACAATCTCTCTTATAACGTCAGCTACGTCAATGGCTCTTTTACTGACATGTCCATGCAGCAGGATTTGGAATGAACAGAGCTTTGGTTTGATGGCAATGGAAGTTTTGGCTGTTTTGTGACTCATTATCTAATTACTTTCTCATTTACAAAGCATAAATTCAAAAGGTCAGCTACAAGAGTAGTTTAATTGCCCTTTTCAGATGAAGAGCTGACTGTTCTTCTACTTGACCAATAGCCACATCCCTTCTGTAAAACATTACTTTTGCTGGTAGAAAACTGTTTTCATCTCACTAAACTCTGTGTTCCACTGGCTTAGACAGTGCTGTACTGCACACTTCTATGCTTTTGTTCCCCTGTGACAAGTGATATTCTGTCTTCCATATCACTGTCAGTCAGCTTAGAGAATGTGAAATCCAACCTTCTTTTAAATCCTGTTGCTCAAATGCCTGAAAGGGCTTTTTTTCCTATTGAAACTGGAACTGGTAGGATAGGTATAGGCACAAGCACAATGCTGGCTAGACATTTCTCGGGGGAAGAGGAGCCCAAGGTGCCTCTTTACTCCTTGCCATATCCTGCTAGAGCAGGCTGGTGACCCTTCCATATGCCTGCTGGTGCCCTTTCTGTGTAGGCGGATAGAGCATCTCCCCCAGTGCACCAGCCAATACAGCTGAGCCAGGGTGGAGAGGGAAGTAATTTGTCCCAGCCACAAGTATTCTGCAAAGCCACAATCTAGCTCAGTGGTGGCCAAACGATGGAGCATGCTACCCTAGAATGCTGGGGGCAAGGAAGGAGCACCACAGCCACATTCCACTCCATTCCTGGTCCAGCTTCAGACTCAGCCGCAGCGCCATTCCACCCCCTTGCCCAGCTCCCCTCCCTGTTGTAGCTGCGTTGTAGCTGGTTCCAGCCCAGCTCTGCCCTCATTCCCTCTCTACCCCAGCCACCTCCGTCGCTAGCCCCAGCTCCTCCATCCTCAGCCCAAGTTCCTCTCCTGAACCAACTGTGCTGTACTGGAGCTGGGGCATGGACAGGTTCCATTACCAGTGGGCAAGGGGGCATAACAGGAATCACTCGATCTAGCCCTTTGAGGGCAATTCGTTCCATCCAGAAGGAGGTGTTGCATGGCGAACTGTTTTCCATTGTGCAAAGACGAGTAACCTGGAAACTTTGAGAATGCTTTTTGGTATTAGTTAATCATCTATGCCCAGAGTGTCTAAGCAGGATACAAATATTGCTACAGTGACTTGTAAAATCATAAAGCGCCTATTAAGAACCAGACTCTGCTTGCCTTATTCAAGCATTCCCGTTGATTTCGACATCCCTGCTCATGTGGATGAAGCAAGTAGAATTTGATCCTGTATGTGGCAAGTTTGACTCAATACCACCCATTGATACTTAACTAGCAGAAGTGTGTGTTTGTACTTTCCCAGTGTCATAGGAGCAACACAGAGGAGTAGCTGCATGATCCTTCAGAATGTTAGCTGAGAAGCGTGCCTTCTGCTGGGAATCCATAGCTTTTAGAGTCAAGACTTCTGTCTTTTGGTTCACCTACCATTAATTATCAGATTGAATATACAATAATTATTGATCCCTGCCAGGAAACACTTTACCAAATCCCACTCCACACAAGAACTGAGGCATAGTTCCAAGCGAACCAAATATAGTGTCAATGCTTTTGGAGTTTTCCATCAATCCGTTTTGGTTGCTTCTATAGCGAAAGAGCTTAATATGCCCCATACCACTCACCAACCTGATGGTGGGAATCATAAGGCTACCTTGCACAAGAACATATGCAAATGTGGCGCAGCGATGAATATCGCTGTGCCTCATTTGCATACTTAATGAGCTGCCATTTTTGTGCAAGGGCCTTTTGCACAAGAAGGAGCAGTCTACACTGCTCCTTCTTGCGCAAAAAACCACACTTGCGCAAGAGCCGTTCTTCCTGAAAATAAGCAGCAGAATGGCTCTTGTTCAAGGAGGGGGGGGTTTGCACAAGGAGGAGCTGTGTAGACTGCTCCTTCTTGTGCAAAAGGCCCTTGCACAAAAATGGCAGCTCATTAAGTATGCAAATGAGGCACAGCGATATTCATCGCTGCGCCACATTTGCATATGTTCTTGTGCAAGAGAGCACAATGTAGATGTAGCCTAAGAGAATATTCATTCTGTGCGCTCTGGGCAAAGCTTTAGGGGGAGGTAGAAAGTGCCACACATCCCACGGATGCTAAGCAGTGCCTTATCATGATCATCCTCAGAGCAACATTGCTCCTATTGAGCTCACAACACAGACACTCCCAGTCCGAGGCAAGAACCAGTTACAGAGAAGAGCAGACAGTGAATACAGTCAGGCTAGATGGCAGTAGCATCAGTATAGTGTTTACTAGGTAAGTTATATCTTGTTGAGAAAGAAATGATCTTACTTCAGCCATCACGGACCTCCTGCAGTAAATACATTGCACCAATAGGCTGTCGTGAGAGGGACATTACAGTAGAATTGGAGAGATACAAATCCCACGTATAGACAACAAATGCATTATAATTTTATAGAGTCCAAGGTCAGAAACAACCATTGTGATCATCTAGCCCAGTGATTCTCACCACCGGCTGCTTGCAGCCCAATCAGCACAGAGCTCTGGCCCAGGTGACATCCTCAGGGCCATATAGACAGCACATATAGTGTGTGTTTGTGGCCTACGTAACATATAATAAGCTGCATATGTGGCCCACAGTGGGAAACAGGTTGAGAACCACTGACCTTCGGTATACTACAGACCATAGAACATCCCCCGAATTGATTACTAGAGTAGATCTTTTAGAAAAATGTCCAATCTTGATTTTAGAAATGCCTGTGATTGAGAATGTACCAAGACTCCTGATAAGCCATTCCAACGGGTAATTATTCTCTCTTAAACATGTACACGTTATTTTCAGTCTGAATGTGCCTGGCCTTAGCTACCAGCCATTAGATCCTGTTACGACTTTGTCTGCTTGATTGAAGAGTCCATTATCACATTTCTGTTCCCCGCCTTGCCGACGGTGATCAAGTTGCCCTTTCACCTTTTTGTTCAAATAGATTCCATTAGTGCTTGCCTGCATGAAAAATACAGAGGCTACATAATCTCTGTTCTTATTCTCTCGATTCCCCAGTGTATGCATCCAAAGACTTCATGAATCTTTTGCCCACTGCTGCTCGTGGGGTCCAAATGAGATTATTCATTATGTGTGCTCAAAGGACAAAGCTTTAGCAGAAGGCATGAAGTTCTGTACACTCTGCAGGACACGGAGCAGGGTTTCATCATGATTATCCTAAAGCAATATTGTACAGCACATATTAAGCTCACGGATTCTCACATAGTCAGGCTATGTCTCCACTTACTGGAGGATTGACCTTCCTTGGAGTGATCATTTACAATAGCATACATGCAGGCAGCTGGAGCAGTCCCTGCAAAAGTCCCACGTCCTAATTCTCACCACCTAGACATCCTGAGGCAGTACACAGGGAAACTGAGGCACGCACAGTATTCATGCAAAATCCTAAGACTCACATACAAAATAACAAGGGGAAATCCCCACTTCGTCGCAATCTCATTTCTGGAGGTGAATTGGCATTTAAATTGTAAGACTCATGTTGCTATAAGTTTGGGCTGAAATTCCCAGCTGTCTGTGGCACTCCCATCAAAGAGAGAGAATGGATGAGCACAGGGTGAGGCCTGGAAAGCTTTGGCCATCGCTATTGGCACAGTATTTATAAGTGACATGCACCACATTAAACACTGAGGTGGAGCAGGTCAATCACTGTAGAAGCTCATTACTTAGCGCTGATTGCAATTGCCATGCCATCATGTCTTTTAAAAATATCACTTTTTAAATGATGAGATGCATGGCACAGTGAAATCCTGTTGATACTGTGCCTGGTATGTCGGCCTTAAATGCAGAAAAAAATACCTTAATTTGCAATTAGAGGCAAAATGGGTTGTAGGCCAGAGCCTATTAGACTGCTCTTCACTTTGTCAGGACTACTGCTGGTTGCAAATATTTCTAAAAGTCTCTGTGAGAACTAATGGAATTGGGGGGGCAGAAAAACTCCAGCCAGCTGTACTGCCTCTGTTATAGTTTCACAGAAGAATGGAGCAGACCTCACAATGACAAAAATTAGCAAAGGCAGCGTTGTGTAGTGGGAATGGACATGGCACAGCTCAGCAGTGTGGCCTCTATGTTGCTATCTACGGTGCTTGGTCCTGCCATGAGGGCAGGGGACTCGACTCGATGACCTCTCGAGGTCCCGTTAAGTTCTAGGGTTCTATGATTTATACTAGCATTAAGCTCAATGAGAGCCAACACAAGTACATCCACACTAGGGATCTAAAATCCCTTGTACTTAGTTAACTGATTCAATGTGAATTTTAACTGGTTATCTGATTAAACGGGGGCAGGCAGATGCGGGGAGTGCTGTTTCAGCCGGCTGGGCTGGAGCGCCCCCTCCCCCCTGCCCATCACAACTGGGCTGGAGTGGCCCCCGTCCAGCTGCTTCTGACCCCATGCTGGGCTGCTGGCTCCCAGCCCATGTGGGTCCCAGCGGCGCAGGGAAAGGGGGGGCTGGGCCATTAAGGGTCATGCTTACTGAGTAACTGGTTAACCGGTTACCCGTTCACATTCCTAATCCACATAAGCAGAATCCCAAGCCCCCATCCCTCAGTGTAGACATTGATTTAGGACTTGTCTTCACTACATGGATTGACGCTGTGGTGATCGATCCACCGGCCATCAATTTATCGTGTCTACTTAGATGCAACAAATCAATCTCTGAGTGCTCTACCATTGAGCCCTGTACTCCACCAGCATGAGAAATGTAGCCGGAGTCGACAGAAGAGTAGCCCCAGCTGACCTTACCACATGGAAGACACCACAATAAGTACATCAATGTGACGGTGCAGTTGCCTTGCACTGGAGTGTAGAGGGTTAAAACAGGCCTGGGAGAGGGCTGAGGCTGGGAGCCAATTGGGAGAGGGCTTGTGGCAGCCAGTCAGAGCCCAGCAGGGCTGTATAAAAAGATGGCTGGCCAGGAGGAGCTCACTTTTGCTCCAGGTCTGGAGGAAGAGGAACCTAGCTACCTGCTAGCAGGGTACCTTGGCCAGAGCAGGGCTGAGGGAAGGCAGGGTGAGCCAGGGAAGTTCAGGCTTGTATAAACCCCAGGCTGAGACCCGATGGCAGGGGCCCAGGGAGTAGCTAAGGCTGTAGAGAAGGAGCCAGGACAGGAGAAGGCAGCAGGTCCACACCCCCCTCCCAATGATGACGGCAGTTTGCCCGGGAGGCAGGGGCTGGCTAACGACTAGCAGTGGCTCACTGAGGCATGGTGGGCACAGGGAGTCGGGGTTCCCCAGAGCAGAGGACCCCAGAGTGTGGGGGCCCTGCCACGGGGCAGTACTCTGAGGGAAGGGCACTGTGGTCTGGGAGTGTAACAATATGGTTTTTCTGTAACCACGTTGGAAGGCCTATAGCCATATTGGTAGACCTGAACTAAAGCCTTCTCCTGCAGCCAGAGTGGAGAGCAGCAGCCGTTAGCTGTAAGGCCTAGAGTCACATACGCATGTTCCATCTAAATTGCATTAAAATAGCATCACACTAGGCTGTGAGAAGGCGACCTTGTCCTGATAGCCCCCCACTGTCACCAGATAAAGAAACAGATCTCAAGATGGGTAAAGAAAAGTTAGTTAACACCATTCTGTCTGGCCAGAAACTGCTTCTCCAGAGTTGAGGTTGCGGAATCCGCACTCAATGATTATTGTCATTACTTTCCTATTGTTTGTCTGTGTGATCTGTCTGGTTTGTAACTTTCTGTCTGCTGGGTAATTAATGCTGCTAAGTGTAAATCAGTTAAGGCGGTGGGGTATGATTGGTTAGGTAATTTTGTTACAGTGTGTTATGATTGGTAAGTAAAATTATACTAAAATCATTGGTTAAGATCTAGCTAAGCAGGACTCAGGTTTCACTATATAAACTGGGGTCCAAGAAGGAGACCTGCAAGGAGAGCAGAAAGGGAAACAAGCACAGAAAGGAACAACAACAAGAAGGGGAAAGACCTGGAAGGAGAACTCGCTGCCAAGACACAGCCTAAGACCAGAACTGCCAGGATTTTCCTGCACGACCATGACATGCAGCAGCTAAGATCCAGAGAGAGACTAATCCTGCCGGGCTGACAGAGGAAGTCTGCCTGCCTGTACCGGGATTGGTGAGCATGACACTGTGAGCTTAGCATGTGTATTCTGCTTGCTTGGGAATTGTCAACAGAGAATAAGAGTATCACAGTGTGAGGCTCTTTCAGTGGCTAAAGATCCTGCAAACCCGCAGGAAATTCCGCCCTGAGCCATAGGAGTTGGGTAAGGGTGGGTGTGTAAATTCACAGGGTTGCACCTTGAGCCCTAGGAACTGGGTAGAGGTGTGTGTCCCTACAGTGTGGAAGGGATAGAGAAGTTTGTGTGGGTAACAGGAAGGACTCGGGTCCTGACGAGTAATGAAGAATAGACAAAAAGGGTAATAGCAGACGAGACGTTGCTAGGGGGAAGGCGCTATAGGGCTGACATAAGCTAATTCCCAAAATGACCAACAGGAGGTGCCAGGTGGTGAGTCAGGAAGATGCTGCAGTCGACTTCAGTTAGGCTAGTTGTGTAGCTGAAGTTACATAGGTTCGGAGGTAGTGTAGGCCAGGCCTCACACACGCCGAATCTCAATAGTAGCACAGAGGAAAAAAAGCTGTTGGTAATATTTGTGCATTTCAGTGGGAAAGAACAAGAATCCTTGGCGGAAAATTCCATCCTGTTTTCTGGCCAGTCCTACTGACTTGCCACCAAGGTAACTCCAGACCCAGGTTATTGGGTTGTGAGTCTGTACGATTGTCACATGACAAAGAGCAACTTTCTGCCTACACCCAAGCAAAGAACTTCATGAGTGACAGACTCGGTCACATCCCTAATGCTGGGCCTTCACGGCTCACCGTCTGCTTCGAACCTCCTGCAGCCCCTTGTCCCGCACAGGCTTACATGAACCATTCGCAGGCCCTGCCCCAGCACTGAGCCCGGATTCCACACGCAGCCCTTCTGCAGCTCTGGTCTCTGCCGCCACCTCAGGAGCCCAGACAGAGACGTGCTCGGGAAGGGGAGGCCAAGTCTTCGGCCCCAGCCATCCTTCAGCTAGCACAAGAGGGTATAAATCGGAGTGGCCCTTTGAGTTGCTCTAGACCAAGCGTTCCCAACGAAAGACAAAAAAGCACAGGTGCCCTGGTGGCCATTCTGTAAATATCAATCAGAGTTTCCTTTCGAGAGAGCGTCCATGCAGTCTGGACATGCTCTTTCGCAAAAGCACATCGCTTTTTCAGTGCGCGTTTGCAGTGTGGATGCACTCTTGTGCAAGACAGTTTTGCAGAAGATCTTTTCCAATAAAAGCTTCTTGTGCAAGAAGCCTGCAGTCTAGATGTGGCCTCAGGCTGTGACTAGAGGCAGGGAGGAAATTCTAAGGGAGGGGTTTTCAGCACAGACTTCTGCAAACTGACATCTGAGCTGTGGGGGGGAGGGAGGGGTTAATTCTCATTATTATAGTCCTGGGTTTCCCAGCACAAACCACACTCTGCATTTTTGGCTCGATATTATTGATCTGACGTTAGGATGGCTGACCTTATATTTTTCCAGTCATTTCTATAGCAGTTTGTATGCAATCTGAACGGAAGATATACAGAGTACATTCAAACACACTGAATCGCTGTGGGGAGCTCCTTAGTTGTAGTACCAAAGCTATTCTCCTAAGGAATCCCTTGTAGATTGCCCCTCATTTTTCTTTGCCAAGTTTGCTGTGCAGCGTTGCCAATTGCTGTTGGCATTTTATCATAAGTATCATGATAGTTAGTGGGTTTTTTAAAGCCCCAACTCTTGGAGTCATGTGACTATGAAAAATCTCTGCTTTTGTTTAATAAAAAAGACCATCTGGACGGTACTGGGTCCAGCCGCAAGGGCAGGGGACTGGACACGATGACCTCTTGAGGTCCCTTCCAGTTCTAGTGTTCTAGGATTCTATGATCAGTTACCAGCCCTCAGAGTTGCACAGAAAAGGCTGAAGTGTGAAGTTCAAAATCCAGAAAGCAAATTAAAAGTTCCACAATTTTTTAATCTCATGACATTCAAGCCAATCTTCTGATTTGGGGGTAACAGATTTGACTCATTATTTTTGGATGGTTGGGGCTAATAATACCAGTTAGTAGTGAATTCAGATGAGATTGTGGTAATTAGTCGCTGCATAAATTAAACTCGTGAAATCTATAGGGGCGGGCAAGCTGTGGTTTTGGGTGTTGATTTTTTCACTGCATGCTGGTCCTGCTGGCAACAGAATTGTTAAACTTAGCTGCAGCTTGTCAAATATTTTTCTATCATTGTTGTGTTTTGTGATAGTTTTCACACACCCCTCTGTGTTCTGTGAATGCAAAGGATCGCTGAGCCTGTTTCTACCCACCGCACTTGCTAGTTAACAGCTCACTTTTTCCAATCAATTGTCCTTTGAGGACAGAGAAAAATCACTGGGGAATTTCCAATATTTTCTCATCAGGAAGCCCAGGGTTTAAAAACACAAATTTTTGACTCTGCAAAAAATCTTGCACTGATGCCCCAGACTATTGGCAAGTGGCCTGAAAAGATAAATTACTCCTGCTGCAGCATTGCAGCTCCTGCCCTTTCCGGGGTCACTGCTGACGTTCAGAATTGTAAGCAGGTGTTGGGGAGGCTGAGTTCTCTTTATCATGCAGCTGGTTTGGGGGGGCGCAGGGGAGGAGAAGAACTGCACTTTAACAGAGCAAGTCTGAATTTTAGCCTGCAGCAAGGTGGAAAGATGTTAAAATCCAACATGGGTATCTCATTTATTTTATGTGTTGCTGTCCCTAACTAATTTTAGCTGCAGTAATTTAATAACTTTATCCCACATGGACTGCTCTATCAATTTAGTTTGTCTCTTTGCAAACTGGCAAATATACCTATTTATTTGTTGGGTCTACACAGCTCTCAATATGGCTACAATTGTGTTTTCCTTTCACACCAGCCACAAACACTCCCAAGATGACAATGTTTTGGTGACATTACAACCCCAAATAATAGGATATTTTCCACCTGCAAGCTGTAGGGATCATTACTGCATTGTGATAAATTTGAATGGGCTAGTCCCATACACTTAGGCCTGGTCTACACTACAGTGGAAGGTCAAATTAAGATATGCAACTCCAGCTCACCGTTTAGGGGCCAGACAAGCTGCGACAGGCATGCAGAACAGGGGATGGAGGGTTGTTTGGGTAACGAAACAAGACTAACAATTTCCCCCAAGACATCAGAGCTCTCTCCTCAAACTCCTGTAGCTCTCATCCTGTATGCTTGCCTGCCTTCGTGTCTCTTTCACCCAGGCCATGTCTACACTACAGAGGAGAGCGAAGCTGTCGCTGTCCATCTTCCGGGTTCAACCGAGTGGGTCTAGTGAAGGCACACTCATTCAAACTGAGAGGGTGCTCCTGTTGACATCGGTGGTCCTGCTCCTACGAGGAATAAGAGAAGCCGAAGAGAGAGGGTGCTCCCCTTGACCTCTCGCTGTGTGGATGGCACAAAAATGTTATGTAAGATACTTCGTAATTAACGTAGGTGGCGTTGCGTCTCTTAATTTGACCTTATCTCCTACTGTGGACCTGGCCCCGGAGTAAATTTTGACTCTTCCCTCATCCCATAAAGTGGCAGACCAACAGTGTCTGCACGGTCATGGCTGCTACAATGGGGAAGAACTCGCCATTAGCAAAGGCAGCTCAGCGCATCTCTAGAAGCCAGGGAAAGCTAAACTGTGCCGGCGGTACACGTGCATGGGACCCTGGGCATTCTTAACAACACAGAGAACCCGTCGGCACTTAAAGACAAAGTCGTGGGGCAGAGGTGAATACATTCGGTTTGTGCACACACTTCTCTGCTGAGCTTGGCATCTTTCCTGCCTCTCACGTGTTTCCCTCTCGGAACAACATAAAAAAGTTTAAATGTCAGAGGGAGGAAAACACACTGAAAATTGTTGGCCATATTCCCGACATTTTCCATTCGCTGGATGTCTCAGAGATTATGAGGTGAGGACAGACCATTCCCTGCCCTCCTCTAGACACCTGCCAGTACGCACCAGGAAGAAAATACCGAAATCCTCTGCACTGCACCACGTGCTCACTGCAGACCCAGTGGTTTGTGGAGACTTCTGCCTCCTTCAGAGCTACACTTCAACCAGAACCCTGACTAGACGCTACTGCAACACCTGCTGTCGTCCTCTACCAAGACCTTGGGGATGGAGTTTGCCTGATTTAATTCTCACTGCAAGCACTGTTGTTCTCAATTAATATATGTATAACATCAGAATGGGAGAAGGGTTGAGATGGGGGGCAGAAAAGACTATTTTAATCAGAACTCAAGGATATCAGGCATTCCTAATCACCTAGAAATACACATGATTCAGTAAGTAGGAGCGGCTGAAAGTTTCTCACCAGTGTCTTGGGCTTGATAAATAATGGAACACACAAACCTGAGAAACCAATTCACTAGTAAGTTGCTTCTGTGCATTTCGTTTTCAAGGATGCAGGGAGGTGCTTACAGCCAGGAAGCCGGGATCTCTGACACCTCAGGAAGGGGAGGAAGAGATGTGTGTGGAAATGATTCAGGGGCAAAGAGGCAAGAGGAGGAGAAGGGCAAGGGACTGCGTCTCTCCTCACTAACGATCCCTCATTTTTTTTCCTCCTTCGTGCAGAATAAATGTTGTTCTGTGCACTGAGACATGTGCGGATGTGCACCACCATTAGAAAGACATGCCGTCGGTGGTGGGTGCTCTGCTAGTCAGCTGGGCGGCACTGGAATCTCGCCTGGGTGGCCACCCAAGTGCTCAGCCTGCAGAGAACCCTGCCCTTAATCCTATGAGAAGGGGAGAGAAGAAGGTGAGCAGGGAAAAAGAGCGGAATCTGGCCACACTGCATTTTTCAGCCAGTGATCACAGAAGCGCCCAGGGCGTGTGGGACGGTGTGAGAGAAAGGGGAAAGGAAGTGGGCAGAGCATGGGAAGACAGACAGGGGCACTAGCCGAGACAGGGAACAAACCAGTGGGAAGAGTGGAGATAACAGGAGGGGAAGGGGAGTATTAAATGTCTGATCCTGGATGGGGCGTGGTGACAGGGGCTTAAGTAGAAGCAGCTGCCACTGTCACAGACCCTCCGGCCCCTCCCCCACCCTCAAAGTCCCTTTCACACCCTGGATCCCGTTTATCTGAGGAAGTGACTTCTGCTGTTGAGAAACGTGTTTTGCTGCACTGCTGTGGCAGACATTCTCCACACCGTCGTTTTTTCAGCCACGTCGTCTCGCAGGACCCATCTTCCCACAGATCCTTCTGTGGCTACCCCCAAGGAGAGGCCATTTCCTTTGGGAGCTGGAGGGGCTAGGTCACTGAGAGTCTGCTGGTATTTTACATTGCTGCTGTCGGATGATCATTGACATCAGGTCCTTGTGTGCCGCATTCCTGTCTTCTGGCAGTGCAGGGCTGCGTGGGGCTGCTGATGTTCACTGCAGTAAGAGCAGTCTAAGATTCAAGAGCATATCTTACTTGGTACCCATGGGGGGCAGCTACCCCCACTTGGACCTGAAGGGTTTAAAGCAGGCTGGAGGGAACCGGCACAGAGCCCTGGCCAATCAGAAAAGGGTTTAGAAGGAGCCAATGAGAAGGCAGCTTGCTGGGGGCAGCTCTGGTTATAAGAAGCTGCTCAGCAGAGCAGAGGGCAGTTGTGGCCTGACCAGGGAGGGGGGCAGGACTGGTTCCTAGAGGAGTGCTTGAGAGAAAGCGGGGCCGGGCAGGCTCAGGGGAGCTAGCAGAGGGCTCCAGCCTGATGCCGGCCAGGCTGCAGGCCTGGATACAGGGGCCAGGAAGGTGTAAGGACCACAGGGAAGGGACCAGGGAACAGGAGGCATTTAAGAGAGCAGGTCAAGGCTACTGCCTTAGGGTCCTCAGGCTGGGACCCAGAGTAGTGGGCAGGCCCCCCCTTTCCCTCTTGCACAGCACCTAGCCACACTGATGAGTGGCCTTTACAAACTGGGACTTGCCCCTGAAGCGAGGGGCTGGACTGAGGCTGCAGTTGGCTACAGAGGCTGGCACAAGGCTGCAGTCTGCTGGTACCCCGTGAAGGGGGCGAGCGACCAGTGTGGTGGGCATTGCTGGAGGGCGGAGTCCCGAAAAGGATGCCATGGTTGGAGGGCAACGTGGTGTGACGTAGTGGGGGTACCTGGCTGGTTTCTATTCTGCTGGCTCTGGGGTAACCTCCACTGGCTGCTGTGGGTACCACGACCCAGCAAAACAGGATGAGTCACTATGCAAACCAGTATGGCCAGACACCCCCTATGGAGAGGAACAAAGGAAGGTGGATGCTGCCCTGGCTGGGGGGCAGGGCTGGAAGAGAGTTAGTTAGTGGCTGGCGATCTGGGAGCATGGAGGAGACAGCCTAGGGAAAGGGGCTGGAGTTTAGGGGCCCGGTCTCCCCCATCTCAAGGGGGCCTGAGGCATCCTAGCCCAGTTCTGTGGCCAGACTACATCTGTGCTGTGCTGTATCCTGGAGAGGCAATAAACTTCCTCTGTTCCACCGGCTGGGGCAGGCTGTTTGTGCCATTTCGGGGGGCAGGAGACGGGGGACCCCCAACGCGCCGTCACACGTGGGTCCAGAGCGAGAGTGTGGGGAGAGCACAGAGGAGTGATGGACGACACACATGCAGAAGGAGGCGCCCTGCTGAGGACTGAGATAATTACCAGAGTGGCCAGCAGGGGCCACTGCAGCAGTGAGTCGCTCCCTGTTACGGTAGCTCTCGAGTCATCTTAACGTGAACAGACTTCAGCCTACCCTCCGGCGTTGCCCCTATGGCACCGTTCCACAATAACCACCTACAATACAATTGTTCATGACTAATTTAACCTTCGTGGAGCATATGAACTGATAAAACGTCATAGGCCAGTTTCCTGAAGTGCTCTTGCTTTAGAATATATCTATTTAAGTCCAAGGTCACTAAGTATTTCTTAGACATGAAATGGCCACTTTGCAGCCGTTCTACACGATTGCTAACAAGCAAGTCCATTGTCACCCAGAAATCTCTGTGCAGGAGCGAGAAGCCATTTAAACCAGGCTTTCACTTAAGGCCAGTTGGCTAGGAAAAAATGTACTCCACGTCTGGCTGTGGCATTTTCCCCTCTGCTGCAAACACCCTCTTCCTCCCCCACCGTGCGGGGGTATTCATGAGGTGCACTGTCGTGAGCGACCTAATAGTGGGTTAGAACTCAGACGTGTCCTTGACAGCACAGCTGCTCTGTGCACAGACTATTTCATTGCTTGGGGAAGCTGGGAACAGGCGGGCTCCAAAAGTGAGATGGAAAATTTTCAGAAGAGAGTAAGAGGCAGGAAATCAAACCCTCGTTTCTTCTCCTCTGGGAGAGGAAGCCCTAATCCCCCCTCGCACCTTTCTCTGGAGTGGAGATTGCGGGCAATGCCCATTCGCATGCGCTGGGATTCTGATGTGAACGGACAGATTCCCTCCTCTTAGCTGGCTGCCAGCTCCTCCGTCAGTGATGTGCAGCTGATTTACAATTAGCCAGGGACTGGTTTGTGCATGGAAGAGCCTCACCAAAAGAAGCGAGATGTGCTGCGCTTCATAATCCTTTCTCAAATGCCATAGTACGTTACCTTCAGTGTCAGTTGCTAACGAACGCACAAGACTCAGAGCCTGGACATGAGTCAAACCAGACATGAAAGTGACGGCATTTTTATCAACTGATCCCATAGGCGCCTGGAATCTCAAAGGGCTTTAGACACAACAAGGTCGATCCTGCAAGGAGCAGCGCTTTCTCCACTTTCACTGACCTCAGCAGGAGGAGAGGGTGCTCACAAAGTCGGGCTCCATCTGCACAATGGCATGGCCCCCCTTCACCCAAGCAGCTTAGGGGTTAGCAGATGGGTCACCGGGACCCAGCCCAGGAGAGCTGGGTTCTCTCTGGAGTTCTAGGAACCTGCATTTGAGAATCCTTTTGAGTTTGGGGAGGGGGAAAACCGTCCTGAATAAGGATAAAGACAAAACCTCAACTTTTTATAGAATCAACACCCCAAAATAGTGTGGTTGGGACACACTGAAACCTGGTATTTCCAAAATGATGTATGCTTCCTGGGATTCCACAGGGGCAGCCCAAACTGACATGATTTGTGTCTGTTTCATGGCTGCCCCCACCAAACAGAAGCAATGAAACGGACTGGTTCTGTTGGGGGCTCTGCTACTGACTTCCCACATGGCCTTGAGCAAATCAGTTCACTTTGCTGTGTTTCTTTCCCAGCTGCTGTCTCATGTCTTCTTTCACTGTATGCTGTCTATGGCAAGGCCTGGATCACATGCCCATTTATACATCCCGTAGCCCAAAAGTCCCTGGCTTGGCTTGGCTTCTCTAAATGCATCTGTCATACAAAGAAGAATAACATGGAAGTGCAGCTCCTCTGGGATATGGAGGAGGGGGAATAGTAATAGGCAGACAGCTGTTCTGGATAGGCTGGAGTGGCTTGATGGACATTGGTTTGGTGCGAATGGTTGAGGCTGTATTCAGTGCTAGCATAGAAAAGTATCTGGAAATTATTCATGTCATCTGTTGTACTCCGCAGCAGAACCACAACGCAGGGCTAGTACGGTGGCTGACGCATAGTTCATCACTTGCACTAGACACTGACCTGGGTTTAGGAGAAACGACATCAACAGAAGTGATAATTTAAAGGAACTCCAGGTTACCAGGGCCACTTAGTGTATCAGGGTGGGATATTTGTTTCGCTGTGCTGAGACTCACTGGCATGGCGCCTCCTGCTGGTCACAGCGGGAATTAGCTTGGCTCTCCGCAGGGCTCCCCCCCCCGGCCGGTGTCTCACCCATCCCTGCTCCGTGCACTCTCCACATGCTCTGTCCTGGACCCACGTCGCTCCCCAGATCATAGCGTCCTCCACACTGGTCTCTTGCCCCCCTTTCTAGGGTATCAGCAGACTGTAGCCTCGCACCTGCCACCTGGCCAACTGCAGCCCCTGTCTAGCGTCTCACCTCAGGGACAAGCCACAGTCCAGAGGGGCCACTCCTCAGCAAAGGGGAAGTGGGACCCAGGCCCACCCACTACTCTGAGCCCCGGCCCAGAGACCCTTTGGTAACAGCCTTGTCCTGCCCTCCTTTTCCCCCCTCTATGGCCTCCTGTTCCCTGGGGCACTTCCCTTGTGATCCCTGCACCTTCTTGGCCTTCATGTCAAGGCCTGTGGCCTGGCCAGTATCAGGCTGGAGCCTCCGTCCCTCTAGCTCCCCTGAGACTGCCCAGCACTGCTTTCTCCACCATGCTTCCCTGAGAACCAGTCCTGCCTCCTCCCTGCTCAGGCCTCCACTTCCCTCTGCTCTGCTGAGCAGCTCCTTATAACTAGGGCTGCCCCAGCACACTGCTTTCCGATTGGCTTTTTCTGAGCCCTTTTCTGATTGGCTGGGGCTCGGTGCAAGGTCCCGCTAGCCTACTTTAATCCCTTCCCTGCCAGAGTGGAACAGCTGCCCCACTGCAGTCTGCAAGCTGACTCTTCACGGATCTTTGAGCCTCACCTTGGTAAAGTCACTCTCCTCTAGAGCAGGACTACGCTCACACTCGTGATGAGAATAAACGTGCCAGGGCTTTTTTTGTATTCATCCCTCTTCTGTATGGACCGCATGGTCTTTATGGCTTGAGGGGTCTACACACAGTACATGTCTAGCCACTCGGTTGTGGTGTTTTAGGGAAATCCTTGCCAGTCCTTTGGACTATGTGCAAGGCCCAAAGATAAAAGCTTTAAAATCCTTTCTGGTTCCCTTCCCCAGACCTGAAGAACTCTGCATAGCTGGAAAGCTTGTCCCCTCCACCAACCGAAGTTGGCCCAATAAGAGATATTACCTCCTCCCTATGGAACTGGCCCGGCTTCATCTCCTGCAAACAACGTCCAGTGCTCACAAGCCAGTCCTGAGCCTTGCTCTGTGAGGTCTCAGGACTGCTGACAAGAATCTGGCCCGAATCACTGTTGCTAGGCAGCGACGATACCTCAGGGAAAGAAACGCGGTAGAACAGATTCCTGCAAGTCTCTGCAGTTTCTTTCAGTCTTCTGGAGTCTGTCTGAGGAGTTTGTACTGGCTTTATCCACTTTTGTTTAGCCAAGGAAAGCATTTACATGGAAAGGTGTTCCTACTTGGGCAGAAGTAAGGAAGCCCGAAAGAGATGTTCTCTTGCAATTCCATGAAGTACTTCATTATGGGGAAATAATGAAACCAAGAGACAGAGTGAAAAATGAGAAGACCAGGTCCAGTTCTAGGAGAGAAACTGTAAAGGGTAAATCAAGCAAATCCCCAATAGGAGAGGCACCAATTTCAGGGCATGCAGGAAGCCTGGTACTTTGTGACAATTTCTGGAGGCTATGCAGCAACCCAATAAACTCAAACAGGCACAGAAGGTCAAACCTGTCCTTTCAAATGTAGGTCAATAAAGCGTGCAGAGAGAGGAACGCACCTAGGAAACGCAGCTGCTTTCAAAACCTGACATAAAGCCATATATTACACGGTGTCACATGGGGACCACTTCCTATCACACTGACCTCAGATGATGTGAGATAATTGCAGAATGACTCAGCTGAGATACGCTTCAGTCAGATGCTCCTGTGAACTTGTAAGTTTTGCGGTAGGGTGGGCAGATGTCACTGGAGAGAATTTTGGCTTTGACAGCCTTCTTTGACAGGCCCTTACCACATTTGCTGCCTCTGCTTTTATGGCAGCTGCTACCCCTTCAACGAAAAAAAAGGATTAAATTATTTTAATGGTATGTTGAAAAAACACTCATGAGTCCAGTACCAGCCCTGCAGCATTTGGATCTAGAGTTACAGGGTCTTGCCGTGTTTGGGGTAAATGCTCTAAGACTCTCTAGTACCATTTTTTATTAAAACAGAGATAAAACATGCAACCCAAGAGAGAAAACTCACAACCCAAAACATGTCCAGCAAAGAACGGAGAAGTAGAAGCAGCAGCCGCCTGGGAAATCAGCTCAGAGAGAAGAACGAGCACTAAAGTGACCATAATAGACCTGCATGACATTTCCACTCTGAGTAATTTACAATGTCCCAGTTGAAATTTCTGCTGGGGAAAGCTCTCGCTGCTCTTTCCAGCCCAGTGCTACTCAAGGGCAAGCAAGCTGCCAAGGCAACCTAGCACAGAGGCCAGTATCCTGCAGGTAGCTTCTCATACCTATGCAGTGCTCCAGTGAAGTCAATAAGACTCACAAGAATGGCCATAGTGGGTCAGACCAATGGTCCATCC